TTTTTTTTTCTGAAGAAGGGTCTAGGCCGGAAACGTCAGCTTTCCTGCTCCTCTGATGCTGCTTGGCCTGCTGTGTTCATCCAGCTCCACACCTTGTTATCTCAGATTCTTCAGCATCTGCAGTTCCTACTATCTCTGCCATGGCAATGAAACTTGGCTTAAACAGAGCTGGCCCTCTCACCCCAGGGCAATGGAAGGCTAAATGAAGTTCATCCAATTTTGCTACTTTTAAGCCATGCATCTAAAAAATTCCTTTGGGAGCCAGCCAGGAAAAGCAAGCCAAGCGGAGGAAGCTAAAACCTAAATTTGTTTGTTGCATTTCTCTAGAGGCATTTCTTGTATTTCATTGTGGGATAAGGACAACACTTGTTAGGACAGAATTATTATCCCACCCATAAGTGCCCTGAGAGGAATTCAGAGTCAACCGTAACGTTATCTGGAGAGTCATGTAAGCCAGATCAAGGATGGATGGCAGATTATCTCCCTAAAGAGCATTGGTGAAGCAGGTGGGTTTTTGTGATAATTGCTAACTGAAGGTTGGTTAGCTTGGATGGCTGGACTCCAATGTGGCGTATTATCAACAGCATGGGTTTGATTCCACCAGTAGCTGAGGTCACCATGAAAGACTCTCCTTCTCAACCTCTCCCCTCACCTGAGGCATGGTGAATCTCAGGTTAAATTACCACCAGTTGTCTAACAAGTGAGAGAGTGGGACTATGGTGACATCACCTGGCCACCATTAAGCTATCATTTTACTCCATATTTTTATAAATTTCAAATTTCACCCTCTGTCATGGTGGGTTTCAAATCTATGTTCTCAGAACATGACCATGGGAATTGGGATTACTGGTTCAGCAACATTACCATGACACCACCATCTCCGTCCATGTGTTCTCTCCACCCGCTATGTTGAATTCTTAAAAGAAAACATTGAAGAATAATTTGGCTGCATAACAGCAATGATTGCAGCCCAAAATTAATGAGCTTGATATATTTTTCCATAGTGCCCAGGGGCCACAGGTCTTCCATGGATTATAAATAGAAAATGGGTGGACACACCCACTATACTACATGTTAAACCGTTAACATTGCATGAGAGCCTTCATTTGGTGGAAATGCGTATGTGTCTAAGAAAACTTCAGGAGCTGTGGAAATGAACTAAGCACAGCTCAACACAAGGATTTTCAATAAAGCAGATAATAGGTTGTGCTCCAAGGAATTCCTCAGGGACAGACAAAAAATTAAGGATGTGAAATATAGGGAAGCTGAGCCCTTTATTCACTGGAAGGTTCCTTCGAGACGTGCAGGCCTAGAAGCCAATTGGCTACTGTTAGTCATGAGAAGGCCCCGATGCCAGTGGGCTAAACGCCACAGTCCCGCACTGAGAGTATCAAGCTAAATACTTGAGCTCACGCCAATGTGTGGGTGTGCAAAACAATTCACTCACTAAAGTCTGAGTTGCTGTGATCTGCCGGCCAAAAACATAGAAAAACAAAAAAAAAGGAGCAAGGATGAGTTATTCAGCCCTGTCAGCCTGCTCTGCTATTCAATCTGATCATGGCGCATCCTCTATATTAATGTCATACTTCCACACCCTTCCCATACCCTTTGACGCCTTTACTCTGTAGAGATGCATCTATTTCTTTCTTAATTGTATTCGGTGATGTGACCTCCACCAACTTATGTGGTCAAGAATTCTACAGAGTGAACAAATTTATCCTCGTCTCAGTGCAAAATGGACTACTGTGTATCTTGTGACAGTGACCTCCTTGCTCTAGGCCCTCCAGTGAAGGGGAACATTGTGTAGGCATAAATTACTGCACATGCTGAAAACAAGAAATGCTGGAGAGCACAGCGGGTCAGACAGCATCCATGGAGAGACAGCAAGCTGACGTTTTGAGTCTAGATGGCTCTTCAACAGAGTCTTCAGCCCTGCATCCAATCTGTTCGGCCCTGTCAAAATGCTAATGTTTCATTCAGATCCCCTCTCATTCTTCTAATTTCCAGTGACTATAGCTCTAGTCACAGAATCCCTACAGTGTGGAAGCAGGCCATTCAATCCATCAAATCGACGCCAGCCTTCCAAAGAGAATCCCCACCCAGACCTGCCACTCCACCCTATCCCTGTGACCTTGCCTTTCTCAGGGCGAGTGGTAGTTATGTCAGTGCAGACTTGATGAGCCTTAAGGTCATTTTTGCACTCTATGAATCTATAATCTACCTAACATGAACTTCCCTTTGGGAAGTTTAACACGGCCAGTCCACCTAGCCTGCATATCTTTCAACTATGGGAGGAAACCAGAGCACCCAGAAGACATATGCAAACTCCACACAGTCATCCAAGGGTGGTATTGAACCCAGGTCCCTGGCGCTATGAGACAGCAGTGCCAACCACTGAGCCATCATGCCATGCTGTCACAGCCAATACAATCTATCCTCATGTGACAAGCCTGCCGTCCCAGGAATTGGCCTGAAGAATCTAAACTGTACTCCCTGTATGGCAAGTACATCCTTTCATAATTTGTGTTAGTCATATCCAATTGCTTTTCGTAAACCTTGACTTTAAAACAATCTTCTTGCCACATCAGTCCATAATCAACAATACAGAAAATAACTTGACATGGTTCTTAGACCGGGCAAGTTTTTTTTGTTTTCTGTGAAGACAGAACTAGAGACCTTCGTTAACAGTTTTGCCAATTTCTTCTTCTCTGTTATGAATTTTTGCATTTCAGACTCCAAGGGACCTACATTTGTTTTTACAAAGCTATTGATAATGACAGTAAAGGCTCCAAAGTTCCTTCCATCAGCTCAGGAATCTCCTCTGCTTTTTCTACCTGCCGTTGATGTGTGATGGGAGAATTTGTTAGTTAATATTCAACCTGTATGGTTACATTACAAGCGCACCTTCCTTGGTTATCAGGTCCTGTTGTGTGGCTCAAACTCACAACTGCAAATAGAAGTGACGATGTTAAGGAATTGTTTCCCTGAGAGGGCTGAGTGTCTCTGAAATTTCCTTCCTCAAAAGGTAGTGGAAGAATCAAAACATAGAAAATAGGGGCAGCAATAGGCCATTCAGCCCTCTGAATCTGTTCCGCCTTTCATTATGATCATAGCTGATCATCCAACTCAATACCTGTTCCTGTTTTTCCCCATATCCTTTGATTCCCTTTAGCCCCAAGTGATATATTGCTATATCCAACTCCTTCTTGAAATCACACAGTGTTTTGGCCTCAGGTGCTTTCTGTGCCAGTGAGTTCCACAGGCTCGCCACTCTCTGGGTGAAGAAATTTCTACTCATCTCTTTGTGCTTCCAAAAACAGAAGCTAATGCAAGGCATGCTGACTGACGTGCATGGAACCTCTAAACAGCTACATGGCAACATCACATCTGTATCCAGACCCACAGCAATGCAGTTGATTCTTAAATGCCCTCAACCATAACACCATAAAAAACAGGAGCAGGAGTAGGCCACGTGGTCTCTCGAGCCTCCTCTGCCATTCAATAGGATCACATCTGATCCAACATTCCTCACATCCCCTGACCTAAGGAGCCACATAGTTCAACAACAATTAGCAAGTAGCAACAGATGACAAATGCTGGGCTTGTCAGTGAACCCCACATCCCATGAAGATCAGACCATTCAGGAGTGACGTTAGGAAGCACTTCTACACACAAATGGTGGTAGAGGTTTGGAACTCTTCCACAAATGGCAGTAGATCCTGGATCAGCTGTTAATTTTAAATCTGGGATCAATAACATTTTTGTTAAGCAAAGGTATTAAAGGATATGGGCCAAATACAGGTATATGGGATTAAGCCACAGATCAGGCCATGATCTCGTTGAATGACAGAACAGGCTCAGGTGGCCGAATAGCCAACTCCTGTTTCCTGTTCCAGGGAAAGTTCTACTCACTAGATAATTTCTTGTTAGTGCTGAAATAATATAAACACTTTCACTCACTTATGGTTGACTGTTTGATTTACTTTCAAAAGCATCCCTTGGCATTAAGACAGCATTTGATTGACCAATTCCAAGTGAAATTGTAGCTAATGAGTCATTGAGCAAGTTCTCCATTGGCTGGAATCACACCAAATGGTTGTGGTGATTGGAGGACAATCACCTTAGCCCCAGAACATTGCTGTAGAAGTTCTTCATAGCAGTGTTCTAGGTTCAGATATCTTCATCGATGATTTGCCTTCTATTGCAAGTTCAAAGGTAGGGATGTTTGCTGATCATTACACATTAATATGTTCCATTCACAATTCCTCAGATATTGACCTGCATGCAACAAGATCTTCAAAACATTTCAGCTTGGGCTGATAAGTGGCAAGTAATATTCAAGCTGCAAAAGTATCAGGCAAAAAAACACCAAAATTAAAATAGGCTGCATTACCTCTGCTTGATATTCATTACCATCAGACCCCCACCAACTATATTCTGAGGATCACCATTACCTAGAAAATTAACTGGGTCAGTCCGATTGAGAAGGTCAGAGTCTGGTGAGCACTCTTCTCCTGACTCCCCAAAGTCTTTGCATCACCTACTCATCAGTTGTCTGATGAAATGCCATCCACTTGACAAAAAAAAAGCAAAGAAAAGCACATTCTGGAAATCAAACACAAAACAGAAATTGCTGGGAAAACTCAACAGGTCTGGCGGCATCTGTGGAGAGAGAAAGCAGAATTAAAGTTTTGGGTCCCGTGACCCTTCTTCAGGGTGGCTCCTCTTATATAGATGATTTGGAGTTGGGGACCACGTGTAGGGTGTCAAACTTTGCAGATGACACTAAGATGAGTGGCAAAGCAAAGTGTGCAGAGGACTGTGAAACTTTGCAGAGGAACATAGGTACATTGAGTGAGTGGGCAAAGGTCTGGCAGATGGAATACAATGTAAATAAATGTGAAGTCATACATTTTGGTAGGAGTAATAGTAAAAAGGATTATTACTTGAATGGTAAAAAGTTGTAGCATGCTGCTATGCAGAGGGACCTGGGTGTCCTTGTGCATGAATCACAGAAGGTAGGTCTGCAGGTACAACAAGTAATTAGGAAGGCAAATGGAATTTTGTCCCTCATTGCTAAAGGGATTGAAATAAAAAGCAGAGAGGTTATGTTGCAGCTGTACAAGGTGCTGGTGAGGCCACACCTGGAGTACTGTGTGCAGTTTTGGTCTCCTTACTTGAGAAAGGATGTACTGGCACTGGATGGGGTGCAAAGGAGGTTCACCTAGGTTGATTCTGGAGTTGAGGGGGTTGGCTTATGAGGAGAGACTGAGTAGATTGGGATTATATTCATTGGAATTCAGAAGATTGAGGGGGGATCTTATAGAAACATATAAAATTATGAAGGGAATAGATAAGATAGAAGTAGAGAGGATGTTTCCTCTGGCAGGTGAAGCTAGGACAAGAGGGCATAGCCTCAAGATTAGAGGGAGCAGATTTAGAACTGAACTGAGAAGGAATTTCTTCACCCAGAGGGTTGTTAATCTATGGAATTCCTTGCCCAGTGGAGTAGTTGACACTTCTTCAGTAAATGTTTTTTAAAAAAAGGTAGATTTTTTTTTAACAATAAAGGAATTAAGGGATACGGTGAAAACGCGGGTAAGTGTATCTGAGTCCATGAAAGGATCAGCCATGATCTTATTGAATGGCGGAGCAGGCTCGAAGGGCCAGATGGCCAACTCCTGCTCCTGGTTCTTATGAAGGGTCACTGGATCCGAGACATTAACTCCTCATTCTCTCCACAGATGCTGCCAGACCTGCTGAGTCTTCCCAGCAATTGTTGGCTTTTTAACTTTCTGGTTGCCTGAATGAGTGCAACTCCAACAAATTCAAGAAACCAGACACCAACCAAGACAAGGAAACCAGCTGAATGTTCAAATCCTGTTCCTATATTAACCTTAGTGGGACAGTGACTCTAAACCTCCAAAACTCAAGGTAACATCACTGAGCGCACACATGGATACATCCAATGGACAATGCGCATGCGAATCCTGTGCGGGCGTTTTGATGAGGGATGGTTGCACGTGGTGGGGTTTGTACGCATGTGCACCAGGCCGCTGCCAGACATGCGCATGCGTAACAATGGTTGACCCGCCAGCCGGCAAGTAAACATGCGCAGTGAGTAGGAGGCGACGCCGGCGGAGGGGGGAGGAGGAGGAGGTTTCCGCAGGTTAGGCGGCCGGGGCCTCGCAGGAGGTGAGTAATCGAGGCCGTACCCGAGTCTTCGCGGCGCTATTGTGGGAGAACGGACCTGGAGCTTTTCATTCGAACAGTGAGCGGGGAGGTCTTCGGGCATCTCTTTTGCTGGGCCCAGGCGTCAGTGGTGGTCTCCATAGCAACCAGCAACCCCGAGGCTCCTGGTCGATTGTCCAGAAACAGGGGCATTAGCCACAGTAATAGCCCAGGGGCTGCAGGGGTATTCTGTGCAGCTCAGGCAAACGCGACTTTTGTTTTGCTTATAACGCCTTTTTATTTCCTCAGAAACCCCTCATCAACATCACTATCCCCCCCAACAAAACCTCGAAAAGCACTTGGATTCAATCGAGTTGGGAAGAAGGCCATCCAACCCACCAAATCTATGCTGCTTATTTGGTGACCACCCCTCCCCCACAACTGCCTCCAAGGTGATACTCCCCCAGCCCCGCACAGCTCGCTACTACCTCCTTCCAAAAATCCATAAACAGGACTGCCCAGGCAGACCCATTGTTTCAGCCTGCACCTGCCCCACAGAACTCATCTCTTCCTACCGTGACTTGGTCTTTTCTCCCCTGGTCCAGTCCCTGCCCATGTACATCCATGATTCCTCTGATGCTTTACGTCAGTTTTGGAATTTGCTGTTTGCAGGCTCCAGCCTCCACCTCTTTACCATAGACATGCAATCCCTTTGCATGTCCATTCCCCACCTGGATCATCTCAGGGCTCTCCATTTCTTCCTGGAGTAAAGGCCTGAACCATCCTCACCCACCACCCTCTTCCGCTTGGCCGAGTTCATCCTCACCCTCGATAACTTCTCTTTTTAAGTCCTGTCATTTTCTTCGGGTCAGAGGGGTGGCTGTGGGTACCCACGTGGGCCCCAGTTGTGCCTGTCTTTTTGTGGGGTGTGTGGAACATTCCTTGTTCCAGTCCTAAACCTGCCCCTACTCCCAACTCTTTCTCCAGTATATTGATAATATCATCACTGCTGCTTCTCTCTCTCGTCTGGAATTGGAAAAGTTCGTCAATTTCACTTCCAAATTCCACCCTACCCTAACTTTCACCTGGTCTATCTCTGATTCCTCCATTCCCTTCCTTGACATCATTTCTGGCGATAGACTGCCACTAATACCCACTATAAACCCACTAACTACCACAGTTACCTGGACTATACATCCTCGCACCCTGCTTCCTGTAAAGACTCCATTCCATTCTCTCAGCTCCTCCATCTCCGTTGTATATGTTCCAATGAGGCCAACTTCAACAAGGGAGCCACCAAAATGTCCACTTTCTTCCTCAACCGAGGATTGCCTGTTTAAAAAAAAAATGTACCAGATGATGAGAAGCATAGATAACGTGGATAGCCAGAGACTTTTTCCCAGGATGGAAATGACTATCACAAGGGGGCATAATTTTAAGGTGATTGCAGGAAGGTATAGGGGAGATGTCAGAGGTAGGTTCTTTACACAGAGAGTGGTGGGTGTGTGGAATGCACTGCCAGAGGTGGTAGTAGAGTCAGATACACTAGGGACTTTTAAGCAACTCTTGGATTGGCACATGGATGATAGTAAAATGAAGGGAATGCAGGTTAGTTTGATCTTAAAGTAGGATAATAGGTCGGCACAACATCCGTGGGCTGAAGGGCCTGTACTGTTCTATGTTCTATCATTCCCCAGCACCATTGTCGACAGGGCCCTCAATCGGGTCCAACCCATCTCATGCACTTCTGCCCTGTTCCCTCCTGCAACAGTGATAGGGTTCCCCTGTCTTTACCTATGATCCCACCAGCATCCACACCCAGAAGACCTTCAGCCGCCGTTTCTGCCACCTCCAGCGAGATGCCACCACGAGACACACATTCATCTCTGCTCCCCTCCTTTGTCCACCTTTTGCAGGGATCATTCCCTCCGGGACACCTTGGTCCACTCTTCCTTCGCTCCCAACATCACCCCCCACCGCTCCAAGGCACCTTCCCCTGCAACCACTGAAGGTGTAATGCCTCCCATTCACCTCATCCCTCCCCAGTGTCCAAGGGTCCAAACATACATTTCAGGTAAAGCAGCACTTTACCTACTGCATTCATTGCTTGCAATGTGGTTTCCTCTACATTGGGAAAATGAAGTGTATACTGGGTGACCACTTTGCAGAACATCTACGTTCTGCCTGCAAAAAAGACCCTGAGCTTCCAGTTGCCTGCCACTTTAATGCATCACCCTTTTCCCTGGCTGACATATCTGACTCAGGCTGGCTGCAGTGTTCCAGCAAGGCTCAGCACAAGCTGGAAGAACAATACACATTACACTTCATTTTCCGCTTGGGGACCCTGCAGCCCTCTGGACTCAATATCGAGTTCAATAATTTTAGGGCCTGAACTCTCCCATGACCTAACCCCCACTCCACACATCAGGCCTTGTTGTTACATAGCCTGCCATTACACACTACCTATTGTTAGCCACTAACAGTGTCCATGAACAGCTATTCACCCTCATAGCCAGATTGTTATGAACTCCTTTGTCTGTCCAACTGTTCTTCTCTCTCTTTGGGCTCTATCCCCACCTATTGTTTACTCCTTATCCCCGCCCCCCACCCTATCTTCTGCATATGATCCAACATTTTCCTAGCTACCATCAGTTTTGTGGAAGGGTCACCAGATCTGAAACATTAACTCTGATTTTTCTTCACAGATGCTGCTAGACCTGCTGAGCTTTTCCAGAGATTTCTGTTTTTGTTCCTGATTTACAGCATCCGCAGTTCTTTTGGATTTTTACGCTTTTGGGGAGTTTTCTTTTCAAGTGTTGTCATTGTTAACTGTCAAGCAAGTGCAGCAATTGATCAGTGCATGGCAACCTCTCACCTACGGCAGTGAAATAAATAACAGGGCTGATGGTTGCACTGATGTAAGTTGAGTGAGGTGTAGTGGTTAAATCTTCTCTCTCCTTTGCTATAGGTGAGAGGAGAGAGATTTAAAAAGACCTGAGGGGCAATTTTTTTGCACAGAGGGTGGTTTGCGTATGGAATGAACTTCCTGAGTAAGACTTAACCTAAGAGGCAAATTTTTCATGCAGAAGATGCATCTATGGAATGAACTGCCAGATGAAGTGATGTGAAATGTGAAATAGTTCAGAAAAGATTTACGAGGATTTTGACAGGATTGGAGGGTTTGAACTATAGGAAGAGGCTGAATAGGCTGGGGCTATTTTCCCTGGAGTTTCGGAGGCAGAGGGATGACCTTATGAAGGTTTTGGATAGAGTGACTAGCCAAGGTCTTTACTCCCCGGTGGGGGAGTCCAAGAGTAGAAGGCATAGGTTTAAGGTGACAGGGGAAAGATTTAAAAGGTACCTAAGGGGCAACTTTTTCACAGAGGGTGGTGCGTATTTGGAGTGAGCTGCCAGAGGAAGTGGTGCAGCTGGTACAATTACAACATTTAAAAGGCATCTGGATGGTTATATGAAGGGTTTAGAGGAATATGGGGCAAATGCTGCCAAATAGGACTAGATTATTATAGGATTTATGGTCAGCATCCTGTACAGCATTTGAAAGGCCTTTGGCTGGGTATACGAATAGGAAGGGTTTAGAGGGATATGGCCAAAAGCTGGCAGATTAATTTAGAATATCTGGTTGGCATGGAGAGTTGTACTGAAGGATCTTTTTCCCTGCTGTACAGCTCTACGACTGTAAGTGGTAGATGTGGGTCTGGAGCAAGCAGTTGGGACTAGTTTAGTTTGGCATTATGTTTGGCATGGACAGAAGGGTTTGTTTGCATGCTGTATGACTTTAGGACTGACTTGCACTGACTCTTTCCCATCCATGCAAGTGCGTGGGCTGATTTGAATTCTTCAAATCAGGACAGGCTATGAAGGCTGATGTCTGTTACAAGTTACAACAGCAACCTCAATTATACTTCTTCTCCCACCCTGCTCATTGGAGGGCCAAAATTTGACATCAGGCCTGTGTATGCCCTGCTGTCTCAGCTCACCTGCCTGTGAAATCCACATAATAATGTCTTTGTTATCTTTAAGATCAACCAATTTGGTTATATTCTGGCTGGTGTCCTTTCTTGCACCTTGCATAAACTTCATGCAAAACTGAGAGGGGCCATCACTGAGATGTATGAAATTATGAGGGCAGTGGGTATGGTAGACAGGAAGGTACCTTCCCCTTGATGGAGAGATCAATGTTCTGGAGCACAGATTTAAGATAAGGGGCAGGAGATGTGACAAACTATTTTCACCCACAGGGTGGTGGGAATCTGGAACTCACTGCTTCTAAGGGAGTAGAGGCAGAAACCCTCATCACATTTTTATTTTGATGTCCACTTGCAATGCCAAGTATATAAGGCAGAGAGCCAAGTGCTGGGAAATGGGATTAAAATAGAGAAGTGGTTGATTTTGACTGGTGCAGACATGATGGGCTGAAGGGCCTTTTTCTGTGCAGTAGATCTATGATTCTAACTCTTTGGTGTTAGCCTGGTTGTCACTCTGTTCAGTCAAGCTTCAAAATCCCACCATAACAAGGAATGTCAAAGTCAGGATTCCTCCTCAACTTAATGCTTAGTTTTGTGCAACTGATGTGCATGTTGAAACAGTAACTCTGTTTCAAAAAAAAATTCAGACACTAAGTCTGCACTTTGCAAAGAAACCAATGGTACAAAGCAACAGGTCAAGTATTCGTGAACTAGCGTTCCGGACCCAAAGGATTGGGTTCA